CCAAAGCATTATCCCAATAAAAACCAATTAAAAACAAATATTTACCGCTGTGTCATGTTAAAATAATAATTAAAATTGTCCCTATTTAAAATTCTCCCTAGGCCAGACCCGCTTGCTGAAAAAGCCATGTCTTGAGGGCGCGGCGGAAAGCTAGGAGATCCGGAATCGTCCGGATCTCGGGGGGTAGTTCGTTCCAGAGCCAACTTTTATTAAACAAAGAATTTCATATTCTATTTATGAAGATTATTATTCTGTTTAGAATAACATTCAACAATTGTTGATTAATGAGTCTGGAATTTGTACAACACTCCCATTTATATCCTAAACATCATAGATAGTACAATATTACTTGATTAACTTGTTAGAAACCAGTAATTAAAAAAAAAACCTTAATAGATTTTTCTCCCTTTTCCCAATTTCATTGCTATTTAATAGGCAATGAAATTCTGTTTTAGAAGTATAAAGCATGTTACATTTATATTTAATAAAGACAAAAATCTATGTCAGTCTAGCAATGCCTAATGATCATAATTCTTCAAAGTTCTGCTCTAACGGTTGCTTCTTTTATCTGAAATGTACATACATATCATATAAAAGAAGCTTTTATATGAATATAATATAGCAGTTTATATAACTGCTGTTTTATGTATATTATTTATGTAAAATATAAATACTTATATAATACATATAATATAAATATATTTTATATGAAATATAAATACTTATTTATAAAATACTAACAGGTTCCCAAAGATGCTAAAGACTACTTAAAAAATGTACAGTATGTAACTTTCATTCAAATTCCGCAAGAGTATGATCTGAAATTGTAGTACAATCTATAGCATGCTTTAACTTTAGCCATCAAGTAATGGGCAGTCATAAAATAATGTAGTTAAAAGCATTTCTGTGTGCACCGATATCTATGGGATGGGATCTAAATGACAAAATGTATATTGTAATATCACAATGCAACTTAATTGTTACCTACTTGAATGCAATATTACAATAAAAGTAGTAAAGACCTTGGATATCTTCTAGTCCAACCCCCTGTTCAAGCATCTATACCATTGCAGATAGATGGCTGCCAGTCTTTTCTTAAAAACCTCCAGTGATGAAGTGCCTACAACTTCTGAAGGCAAGTGGTTCCATTGGTTAATTGTTCTCACTTTTAGGTTTCTCCTTAATTCCAGGTTGCTTCTCTCCTTGATTAGTTTCCATCCATTGTTTCTTGTCTTGCTTGGAAAATAAGTTGACCCCCTCTTCTTTGTGGCAGCCCCTCAAATACTGGAATACTGCTATCATGTCAACCCAAGTCCTTCTTTCCTCTAGACTGGCCATACCCAATTCCTACAACCATTCCTCATATGTTTTGGTCTCCAGGCCTTTAATCATCTTAGCTGTTCTTCTTGGCACTTTTTCCAAAATTTCAACATCTTTTTTGTAATGTGACCAAAACTGGATGCAGTATTCCAGGTGTGGTCTTACTAATACCTCATGTGATCTTGATTCTATACCTCTGTTTATACGACCCAGGATTGTATTAACTTTTTTGGCTGCCGCCGCATACTGCTGGCTCATATTCAAGTGATCGTCCACTAGGACTCCAAGATCCCTCTCACAGTTACTGTTATTGAGCCAGGTTTTGCCTAATCTGTACTTGTTCCTTTGTTTTTTCCTGCTTAGGTGTAAAACCTTGCTTTTCTCCACATTAAATTTCATGTTTTTGCATAAGGCCCATTGTTCAAGTCTGTCAAGATCTTTTTGGATCTTGAGCTTGTCTTTTGGGGTGTTGGCTATATCTGCCAGCTTAGTGTCATCTGCAAATTTGATGAGTTCCCCTTCTATTCCCTCATATAAGTCATTTATGAAGATATTGAAGAGTACTGGGCCTAAGACAGAACCTTGTGGTACCTCACTGCTTATTTTTCTCCATGTAGATGTAATACCATTAAGGACTTCTTGTAGGGTAAGGTTTGTCAGCTGGTTACAAATCCATCTGGTGGTGATACTGTCTATCCCACATTTTTCTAGTTACCAAGAAGTAGGTTGTGGTCTACTTTGTCGAATGCCTTGCTGAAGTCTAAGTATAGCATGTCCACAGCATTTTGCTGGTCTTCTAATTTAGTCACTTTGTCAAACAATGAAATAAGATTGGTTTGGCATGATCTATTTTTAACAAACCGATGCTGGTTTCTACTTATAATTTTATTTGTTTCTAGATGTTCACAGATCTGTTTTTTGATTATTTTTTCCCCAGTATCTTTCCAGATATTGATGTTAGGCTGATTGGTCTATAGCAGGCATGTCAAACTCGTGAAGTCACATGACATCATGCGACGTATCGCAATTTTCCCCCATTGCCGGCAATGGGGTGAGTGTGGTTTCAGCGTGACGCATCCGGCCTGCGGGCCGGTAGTTTGACATGCCTGGTCTATAGTTTCCTGGGTCTGTTTTTTTTTTTTTAACTAACTTAACAACTGAAGTGATTCACTTAACAACTGTGGCAGGAAAGATTGTAAAATGGGCAAAATTCACTTAATAAATGTCTCACTTAATAACAGAAATTTTGGGCTCAATTGTGGTGGTAAGTTGAGAATTACCTGTATTGCTCTCTTGCAATAAATAAATATTTACTTATTATTTAACTTAGCTAAGACGTGTTTCTATTTGACAAGAGAACGCCAAACCTTTAATGTTCCATGCCACAAGAAATGTTCCTGGTTTGATATAATTAACTTTAAAAAATAGCAGGCAGAGAATAAAAGCTTGTATCCATCCATACTGTATCTGAATTGCATTCCAGACACAAGCACAATTTAATAACCTTTCAGAGAACCTGGTTTTACATATATCTTCTGCATACAGCAGGAAATAAATTAGTTCAAAAGAGCTTTCATGCCCTCCAACTTTCCCAAATCAGCTGGGGATTTCACTTGATAATCCCAGGTGAACATCTGCCCTTCGGAAATGTTTATCCATGCACAGTAGGGGATACGTGCTTGTCCTGGTAAGTATGAATGAAATGAATTTCATGCACTGCTGTGTCTCTTTAACAAGCAGGCGGAGAGCTAAAGGCTTAAAGAGCAGGTTTCCAAAAGCTGCTTAAATTGACGCAATTTGCTTCTGAGTCAGGGGGCATTAACTTCTGAGTAAAAAGGATAAAAGTCAACAGGAAGAAAAATGACAACCGCCTATATTTCCTACCATCTCTTTCTGTGGAACTCTAAGCGACCGGCAACTTTCTTCCATCTCAGGAGCAAAGTTAGGAGACTGGAATGAGCCACTTCTGGCACCAGATTCCCCCCGCCCCCACCAACTAGCTGGTCCTTCTGAAGGAAAGCAGCTCCATTGTTAATACACCCACTGGCCGTCAAGGCGACTCTCCTGTGATCTGACAGGATGACCAGTGCATTGGCTGGGATTTGGTTTTTTTTCAGTGGCTCTAAAGTTCTCAGCATGGCTGAGAGAACATCAGAACTCTACAGTCACTCAAAGCTTTGTTGGTGTGGGAAGCAGAAAGCCCTGGTGACTTGTTTGGAGTCCTTTTGCAAGCCATGGTCTGCTGTACTAAGCTAAGCTAATAGTGGTACTGTCCAGGTCCTCCTACTCTTCTATTTACTCATTGGCAATTATGGAATTGCTAGCCAAACTTTTCCTAGTAGAAAATCTAGGAAACCCCCCCCCCCCGCTAACAAATATGAGTTCACCTCCCTGGTGTTTTTTCTAAAAAATTGACAACCTTACTGGAGACATCTGAGGGAGAAGGAAAATAATGTTCACTGACCTACAGGTAATGCTTGCAGTACATATTCCAATTTATACAAAGCATTAGAGGATCGCCTTTGAGTCATATTGGATCCCAAAATATAACTAGCAAATTGGTCTTGAGTTATAACCTTTGACTTTCTTTTAACATTTTCTGGATTATTTGTGGTCTTAAAAGTGGCCAGCAACTCTCGTTATTGGTCATACGCCGTGATAAAATCAGTGAACAGAAGCCTCTTTATTGGTTACTAAAAATAACCTCTTTATTTCTTACTGAAAATAAAAAAGTATATGAAAAATACATTATACATTTATGTTCCAAAATATTTAGCTTTACAGTTGTACAAAGGCGTAGATCATGTTTGATAGAACAGGGTTTGAAGCAGAAGGATTCTGATTCATCTTGGCTTCACAGTAAGCCGAGTGGGCAGATATAAAATGCACTGTCCTCAAGTAAAACACCACTCTCAAACCTTGGATCATATTCTGCTACTTCTCACCTTTTCTGAACCAAAAAGTAATACCAACCCAAAATTTTAGGTATTTCCTTACTGAGTTGAATGAGAGACTGGGAACATTTTCTGGATGGAATTTTATAACTGGGGGCCTTCCCTACAGTCTCTTTAAATTGGATATAGGTTGCTGCATCTGAACCTTGAAATCTGTCTGAAGAAACCCTTTTATTGGAAGTTAAAAAGTCTTGAATTCTAAATGTATGTGTGTGCCGTGCATATATAGAGAAAAATGGCTTATCTACCAGGTCGTTAACATTCTTTTTTTCAGTAGTTTTAGCCATTGACTGCACTAAAAGTTAATATTTTATTTCAAAAGGGATTGACAGGACCTGATGGATCACCAGGTCCAGCTGGTCCAAAAGGACAAAAGGTAAGATTAAACGCTTTCATTAGATTTCCTTCCCATTTTTTCAATCTCCAGACTCTTTTATTTAATTATAGGACTGGAGATGCTTGCCAGTTGCTGAATAATAATAATAATAATAATAATCTCAGTACGTGGATAAAAATGCCAAATCCAGCCTAAATATCTGGCTGACTGTATGATGAACCATAATAGCAACCTATCCTTTTTATACGTATATACTTCAAGGTGGCAAACATATCTAATTCTCCTGCCTCTTATTTTCCCCACAACCACAACCTTGTGAGATGACTTGGGCTGAGAGACATGATTGGCCCAAAGTCACACACCTGGGTTTTCATGCCTAAAGCAGGTCTAGAACCCACAATCTCCTTAATTCTTGTACTCTGCCTTGTCTCTAAACAAAAAGTAACACAAACAAACAAACACTTGTATAAATGTTTTAAATACTTGAAATATTGTAACATTTATGGTTTTTAGGGTGAAGTGGGCTTGCCTGGAGGCCGTGGACTTCCTGTAAGTCATTGATTTTTTACATGGTATCTTTTTTAACAACTGGTATTATGAAATATACAGTATTTCCTTAACTATTCTGTAAAAAACTAAACCAATTTAAAAAACACATCTGTAAACCTGGAGGCAGTTTCTGGTCATTTACAAAAGAGCTCAAAAAGTACTCTCCTGTCTTGAAATTGATAGGATATATTAGTCTTTGTGGTGTTCATATAACTTAATACCAGAAAATAGCTTTAAGTTAATAGTAGAGCTTAAATTCCAGCAGGAAACTGTTCTTAACTGTGAATAAAATTTGAAAATAGGATCTCTTCAGTTGAAATTTCAAACAGGACTTTTGTAAAATCCTCCTCCCTCCCTACTCAGTCCAACAAAGGGTTTTTACCACTTTTACAAAATCGGAGGAACTGTAAAGCAAGCACCAATTGGAAATATATTTAAAATGCATTAAAAGAATTCTAGAATAGGATTCTGGCCTGAATAGACACATCTTAAATTGCCTCTGAAAGATGCTGAAAAAAAACTACAAATGTTGTGTTCTTTGTATTCCCCCCCCTTAATCCCCTATGCATATCCTGATCACCCATTAAGGGTGATTGCCCTTCACCATTGATCGCCCATTAAGGGTGATTGCCCTTCACCATTGATCGCCCATTAAGGGTGATTGCCCTTCTCCATCTGCATACAGTTTCATGCCCGTTGCTGGTTGGCTAACTAGCAACAGGG